ATCTATCTCTCTATCTCTCTCTCTATATATCTATCTATCTATCTATATCTCTATGTATATATATATATATATATATATATATATAAGAATATTAACACAGTTGCACTGCAATTATGTTAAACATTTATAACATTTCCGAATGCATTTGTTCATATGTGACATTTTAAAGTGGAAGTTGCTATTTATTTGTTAGTTATTTAAAAATGTGAACATTTCACTTTTACGAAAGCTTTTTTTTGTGTGTGTGTGTCTGACTGGATGCAAAATGAAGCTGTAACCATAACAAAGGAAGTAATCATTCATGTTAATCTCTAACTAAACCTTTCTTCTTTGTTGTGGAGCTGAGCAAGCTAATGATGTGTATTAGATGTGACATCGATATTACAGCCTTATAAATGATGATAATTAGTCAATATTTAAATTTACTCTCTTAGATAATGGGACCTTAGTATGTTTGCACCAACAACTTGAGGATTTTCTGTTTGACTTCTAGTGCAGCGACGAAATGGGTGTCTTCAGTCTTTATTTTCTCTTATTAATGAAGAGTAAAAAAGTAAATATTGTCATTGTGATTTTTTGTTTAAATTTAAAAGTACCTGAACGCACCAAACAAAAACGTTTTCAATGTTAAATCTTGCACTGTAGTTTCAAGGACAAGATAAGGATAAGCAATTCAATGCAAAATGCATTAAAGTACTTTTGTTGTGCTTAGACTGATTTCTGCATATATATATAAACAAAACAACAACATAATTTTAAAAGGAAATGAGTTTGTATGTATGGAGTTTAATATTTTATATTATTATGTTTTATGAGATAGAAACACTGGAGTTACAAAGAGATGGTGAAAACAAATCAGAATTATGAGATTAAAATCAAAATTCTTAGATTAATGTGAAAAATTTGACTTTTTCCCTCAATATTTTGATTTTTTCCCCTCTGAATTCTGAAGAGAAAAAAAAAAAAATCGGAATTCAAGAATCAAGAATCTTTATTGTTATTTGTTTGGTGCTCATGGCTAAATATCCATACACGCAGAACGATAAAGTAAATTATTTGCAGAATTTACAAGGCTTGACAAAGCAGCAGCAAGTTGTGAAGCCTTGTTAAAAAAATAATAAAAAATTAAATTTAAAAAAAGGTCAGAAATTTAGAGTAAAAAATAATCCACGCAACATTCTTCTGTAGCAAATAGAAGGTTGTTTTCTGTCCGGCAGCACTTGAAAGCAGCATCACCACAGGATCCTCGATGCGCGCTCCCTGCGTTTACGTGGCTACTCCTCCTCTTCGACAGCGTACGTGCGCGCACCCATCTATCGCGTGGTGCGGATCATCCATATTGCTGCTAGTGGCGGCGATAAGGTTGTAATCCTGAGGCCCCACTGACACGTTTCTTCAGTTTTTTACACGTTTGTGCTCGGCGCCGACCGCTCCGCGTCTCAGGCCGAAGCTCCTCCGGTCAAAGAGCGACAGAGGAGCTGCAGACCCCCGCGGAACAACTTCAGATTCTCCCCCGTCTGAAATTGAAAGCTAATTCGGACCTAGAAGAAGAAGGAGGGGAGGAGGAGGAGGAGTGGGGGGGAGGGGGGAGAGCTGATAATCCTGAGGGGGGAAGAAAACGACGGCGGTGGGAAATGGCCACTCAGGTGGAGGCTCTCCTGCCCGGCAACCCGCTTGCCAAAGCGGCGGAGGAACACGGTAAACTAGGCGTCAAGCCGCACGAAGAGCCGGAGGGCGGCCGGGGCGAGGAGGGGCCCGAGCGGAGTGTCGGCAGCGGCAGCCCCGGGCAGGGAGGGACCGCGGAGGAGCAGACCTCCGAACCGGGCAACGACGGCTGTGACAGCGACGACAAGCCGGCCGAGGAGGGCGGTAAAGGCGGCAGGAAGGAGTTCACCGAAGCGCCCCCGCCCAAGGTGAACCCGTGGACTAGGAAAATGAACGCGGTGACCGTGGTCAGCGTGAACGGACAAGCTCCCACCGGTCGGTACCCCCACACACAGCGGCTGTCACTTCATGTCTGTCCGGGCTCACTCACACAGAACTGCAGCTTCCACACGAGTCCTGTAGCTTTTATTTGTTGAAAAAGTCAAACCGAAGGCTGCAGCCTGGTTATATTTAGAGTCCCCCCTTCAGTCCTTATGGTGAGGGCTATTTTAGGGCGGAAGGGGGGGCTGGTTGTAGTCTGACCCTTCACAAACACTTAAAATGCTCCAAAACGTTGAGCCACCGCTTTACTTCCAACCTCTGGATTTCCTTGTACCCTCGGAATATGTGAACGCATTAAAGGTGTAATTGAGCTCACAAAGAGCCTTTGTTATGCTTGTCATCGCACCAAACAACCTGCACGCGGCGGGTTTTGATAACTTTGTTTTCTTTATTCTTTTTTAAACGGGTCGTGCAGATTAGTTTCGACACCACTTGCACTTTCTTGTAGAAACTGCAGTTAACGCTTCATCACCGTTTATGCGCAGCCATCCGGTTTGGGTTTTATTTCTGCACGCAGCCCGGGCTTGTGACACAATCCGAACCAGTTTTAAACTCGTGTTTACGCGTATATTTTGAGAGACGTGCAGATTTATTCCACCCTTGTTGCACCAGAATAAGAACCAGAGCTAACAATAGCGCGCACGGGCTCCTCGTCGGCCTAGGCCTTCCCACTCAGCCGTTAGCTTAGCATCGATGTGGCTAACTTTTCGCCTCCGGTCCCGGGTGTGTAAAACACGCCAGCAGCTCGGCCTCTCCGAGGTTCGGTTCTCGGTACCGAAACGTAACGATCCGGAGTGAAACGTGCTACTTTATTAGCTTAAAAAAGGGAGCATGTTTGTTATTAGACGTCACGTGTTGATTCCACGTGTTCCCCGAGAGAGAGGAAAAAGGGCATGGCTGCTAGCTAGCTGGCTACTTATCATTCTGTCTGCTCCTCTTCTGCGGACTGCAGCTGGTTTAGGGTGTTCAGTGTGAATCGGCTCGACTGTTTAGTGATCAGGAAGCCGGTTGTCATGTCGTGTTTTTGCTGTCAGAGCAAACCTGCCCCCCCATCTCCGAGTTAGCCATGCTAGCTACCGTTAGCATCACGCTAGCAAGGAAGCAGAGTCATCAATCAGTTTGAGCTTGTCCGCGCTGTATGTTTAATGCTGCAGAAACTACTCCCTGTTATGTCCCCAGATTAACACTCAAACTTCAAAATTAGATGAAATAATCCAAAAAGGAACAGCAGTCATTTAATCTGTGATTGCAGCCTGCAGGTAGAAGCATTTATTTTGTGGAAACGTGACTTCCCTTGTATGATGGCAGTGTAAATGTTCTGTTTATATGGCCCCTGAAACCTCAAGTTTAATGCAGGCATACGTTTCTAATAGGTCAGCAGTTCTGGTCTGGCTCTGGGATCCACTGACCCCCTTTTGACCCAGACAGGAAAAAATTCAGCTTCTCTGATTTGTTGTAAATGATGTTTCAATTTGAACCCTGATGTAGTAGAATAGAATATTAAAACATTTCAACTTCTGAGAAGAGATAAAATATGTAGCTTTCGCTGAGTACCCAACCATTGAATATCCCATTAGAAATATTCATTTTATCATTAGCCACAAAGCTGACATAATCAGAATGCTGACATTTTTCTTAACTTATGTCATCAATGCAATTCAGTTTATTTATAAAGTGTCGAGTCACAACAGAAGTTGTCTCGGGGCGCTGTACAGAAACATTCACAAACATTCTAAAAGCCAATTAGTAAAAGTTATCTAAGGAAGGCAGCAGATTGCATTGAATCTTCGCTTCGTCACAGTCTCCTGTGCTGAGCAAGCACGAAGGCAACAGTGGAAAGGAAAAACTCCCTCTGAACAGGAAGACGCCTCCAGCAGAACCAGGCTCAGGACGAGCGTCCGTCTGCTTCGGCTGACTGGGTTTTTGCACTAAGAAATACCTGCGACTCACTTCTGGGTTGTGACCCACCAGTTGAGTTAGTAGTCGTTCTAGCTCCTGGTTTTCTCTGAAAACTTTGGTAAAAGTATCTAACAAGGTTGAGTCAGGTCATCTGGGTGGATTCTTCTGTGTTGAAACGTTTCGTCTTTTATCCAAAAGACCTTCAGTCTCTGGACTGAAGGATGGCCCAGCACAGAAGAGCAACATCATCAGGCCAGGATTCTGCGGTCCACACTCATCTGCAGACCAGCGGTCACTCTATCAAGGATGATGTTGTTCACATCCTTGATAGAGGAATGGCGGTTTGAGAGAGGAGTGAAGGAAGCCATCTTTGTGAAGAGAAACTATCCATCTTTAAACGGAGGCGCAGGTCTCTGTGTTCAACTTCCACCCTCTTACTATGCTGTTATTGCAAGCATCACTCAGCCCCTGGCGATCCGGTTACTAATGACCAATTGTTAAGGCCCTAACGATCCATTGTTAACCTGATGGTACTTTTTACATGTGAATAGCTAGTTCTGACTGTCAGCAGCAAACTGGTTGCTCCATTATGATAAGGAGCTATTTATAAGACTGAGTTTGCTGCAGGGTCTCGGACTGAAGAAGTATTTTGGATAAAAGACGAAACGTTTCAGCAAAGAAGAATCCAGAGGACCGTTCACCTTGTTAGATTTTTCTACCTGGATCACTGAGCATGCATCTGGACATTTGGTACAAGTGTAGTCCTTCATTAATTAATTGGGATGTCCCAATCAAACGTTTTTATTTTGCTATTTGTATTACTACTGCATATTACAGACGACAAGCACGGTAGATATTTTTTAATATAATGCCATGTGCTCTATGCCTCAGCAACTTTACAGTGAATCAAGAAAGGAAAATTAAAATGACAGGTGATGGTAAGTCCTGTGTTAGTGTTATCGTGTTGTGAAGGTGGAATGGACTGTGGCTCCAAAATCAACAAAAACTTATTTTCCCCACCACGTGATGATCAGCTATGCCCTGGTCATCCAGATGAATAATTTCAGTCCCCTGATCTGTAATATTTAGCCGTTTAAATATAAGCAATAAAACAAGGTTTGCAGTTCGTGTCACTCACCTGCTGATGCAGCGGTGGAGAAACCGAATACATTTTGAAGCTAAGGTTCTGGTTGCTCCGTTCTGTCCGGCTGCCTGTTGCTGAACTGGGCTTCTTTTGTATTTTAAACTTCTTCCATATTGGAGACATGTTTACACGACATCACATCGTCTGCCACGAGGCGGCTATACAGCCTGACGTACGACCACAGACGGATCCCGAGTGGAGTGAGCCTGCCGCTCCGGTACCGATCAATGAAAAATGCCTGGATTTGTACTCTGGTCAGAACATTTCTTGTAATTGCTACAGTAAACCAAACTTACACCTGCAAAAAAAAAATAAAAAAAAATTGCAAAGATTTTTCCTCAAAATGTATTAGTGCCAAGTTAAAATCAACTAACTTTTTTTTTCACAACGTTTTTGCTTCACGTGGAGAAATCTGTTGCGTTTCCAATTTTAGCAGTAAAAGTTTTCTTGCACATTTTTCGAGACGTTTGTTGCAAGTCTGCCTTTTCACTCTTGTTGAAACTCATATTTAAGCAGCTCTTTTTTGTTTCCAAGTGGTCAACGGAGAATAACGAGCTGCTCTCACAGATGTTGTTGTGTGCAGCAGAGTGTCACATAACTTAACACAAAATATCACTACGTTTTGTCCTGCATTAAGTTCTGGTGTCACTGTGGGTGTAATCAGTCCTCTCCAACATGAATAACCGTTTGCTGGTAGTCTGGTTAAAGCTGTGACCAGAGAACTGCCTGCTTTGTCTGTTGTTGTGTGCAGCTGTTTGGTTTTCGTGTGTAACTTTTGCAAACTTTAGGGTACAGCTTGTACCCAGGACCTGAATGAACGTGTTCCAAAAGTTGTCCCATTAACCCTTAACATCTGGCTGGGACTCGGTGGCAGCGCTGACGGAGCCCTTTGTGTTTTTGTTGTATTCAGAAGCCAAACTGTTCACATGCAGATGGAAACCTGGTTTGTTGGCGGTTTCACTGGTTCTAAAACCTTTTCGTTTTGCAAAGCACGAGCAGTTAAAACGGTGAATTTCACAACTGCTAAGCTAATTTGTTTGCTGTGAATAACTTTTGGATTTATGCAGTAGTTACGAATGCAGTCATTAAAGAAAATAAATTGTCCTCGGAGGAATCGGTTACAAGGTGCAACACTCATAACTAGGCCTGTCGCGATAATGGATTTTGCTGTGTGATTGTCTCAAATTATTACAATAAACAATATTGTTTGAAATTTGACAATAACATTATTGTCAAATTTAAGAAGAAATGTTGGTAAATTGTGTGTAGTACTTTTTTTGACCACCGGATGGCAGTATATGATTGTTTTAACCAAATGATGGATAGTGAGGGAGCGAGCAGCGCGTCTCTTTAAGAAAAATGTTAGGGAGGCCTCTTGACGTGACGTGGGCTGTCTCTTCGGTTCTCAAAATGGCGGACACTCTGTGTGGTTTGAGCTCTTTAGTATAGCATTTTTCACAAAAAACTTAAAAAAATCAGTAAACAAGTTCTCAGCTTCTTTTTGCAAAGAAAAACAACTTTTTACACGAAGGCACGGGTTTCAACCGTGAATTTTGGAGCTTTGACAAGACGGGTTTTTTCCCCCACGAGGTCGACCTTTTAGCTTAGCTCGTAGCTTAGCTTCTCAGCTTAGCTGCTTTTAACGATCCAAAAACATGATTTTGCGCAGTTAAAACAGATTTTAAAGAGAAAGGGAGGGGTCAGTGAAGAGCACAGGAGTCGACCTTTTTGTCATCCAGTGTCTTCAGTAAAACGAGAGAGACATGAAGAAACAATAAAGCCGATGAATGAAAACGAGGTCGATAATTTTCATTCATCATGCGATTAATAGATTTATTGTTTATCGCGACAGGCCTACTCACAAGAACAGCAGAATACTCTATATGTCATAGTACCGTATTTTCCAGCATCCAAGTTGCAGTTTTTGGCGTAGATTTGTCACTTGTGACTT